GCGGAGGAGGAGCGAGGACCGCCAGGCAGGCGGAGGAGGAGCGAGGACCGCCAGGCAGGCGGAGGAGGAGGTGTTGCTGGCTGTGGCTGTAGGTAGAGAGAGAGCAAGATCACCACGAGGTCAGGTCTTAAATAGCGGGGGTAGGCGTGGCTTAGCAGTTGACCCCCGCTCCGTGGTGTATGGCGGCGCTGGTTGACCTAGACCACGAGGCATACACTGGGGAATTGGTGGGGTCGGCTAGGCAGCGACAAACAGCGTTTGTAGGGGAGAATTCCACTACAATACTCCCCCTTCCCTCCAGGCTGTGTAGGAGACTTGTTGTCTGCAGGGTTGCATAGCACATGTGAGGCAGAACGGGCGGTGCGTGCCTCATGTGAGACAACGGCGATGGCGTGGATGAGCCGGTCGCTGGGGACAACTGTCTAGATACACAATATCTGTGGGAGTAGAGAGGGAGAATAAGGGTGTGTGGAGGCGATGAATTTGTGCTTCCCTCACGGCAGGTACCGAGTCGTCAGATGCGCCTGCTGGGGTGTGTGGGCCTGGGTCAGGAGCAGGGGCTGCGTCAGCAGAAACGGATGAGGGCTCGTGACAGCAGCTGGGTCCACGACAGCAGCAGGGTGCAGGACATTAGCAGGGAGTACCTGGGGGAGAAAAGAGGGGTGTGTGTGTCCGCACTCAGGAACAGAGGCCGCATCAGGGGCGGCAGGGGTTACTGCTGGGCCGGGGTCGGCGTCTGAGGCAGGACGGGTGTGCTGGGGTCGGAAGAGGAGCGACTGTCTGCTTAGAGTAGCAGAGCTGCTCTAGGGTGTCTGACCTGTGGTGTAGAGACAGTAGCTGTAGAGCCGATGAGAGCTGCTTCTGGGTGGATAAGCCAGTCTTCCATGTTGCTTGAAGACTGGGAGCGTGGTCAGTTTCTCCTCCATCCTGTGTGAGTGCGAATCTCCGGGAGTCACCATTTGTGGGGTTCAAGATGTTTGGTTCACACTCAGGATTGGATGGAGAAAGGAAACTCACAATGTGCTCTCTATATACATGTTGTATTGGATGTACAATGCAGCTTGGTGCTGGGAAGGCAGCATGGTTACAAGCGTGATGTAGAGAGAGCTGGTTGGTGAGGACGCTCAGAGAAGGACAGCTTGTGGGTCGCCATGCTCGCCAGCGGGAGCGAGGACCGCCAGGCAGGCGGAGGAGGTGTTGCTGGCTGGTTGGTGTAGGTAGAAGGAGAGGCAGATCACCACGAGGTCAGGTCTTAAATAGCGGGGGTAGTCGTGGCTTAGCAGTTGACCCCCGCTCCGTGGTGTATGGCGGCGCTGGTTGACCTAGACCACGAGACATACACTGGGGAATTGGTGGGGTCGGCTAGGCAGCGACAAACAGCGTTTGTAGGGGAGAATTCCACTACAATATAATCGACTAAAAATAGAGGACACCACAAGATCACACAACTGGTGGCCAAAAAGCCTTCTCCATAACTCTCAAGAGCCAGAACTATTGTACACAAAATAGTAAACAAAAGATGAGAGTATTCTACTAGTTACACAAGGACCTAGCAGACCTCTCCAACTTACACAATTATATACAACAGCATAAATAACTTCTTGACGCCAATAAGATAAAAGATGAGAGTTTTCTACTAGTTACACAAGGACCTAGTAGACCTCTCCAACTAACACAATAACAAACCCCTTGCTAGCTAGCTTAGCCTCCTCCCCCCCCCTGTTCCCTTGAGCTCGGGCGACCTATTAGTGCGGCTTTCACCACAGCCAATCAAATCGTCTCTGCTAGGTGGATAGCCCACCTGCTCTTATTCTCTACTATTTTACTTCCCGTTTCATAACTTTCCTTCTATCCTTACCTCTTCTCTCCCTTCCCATGGCAAGCCATTGCCATTTTATCTCCATTATCATCATCTGAAGTCATTCTACTCTACTCTACTCTCCTGAACCAGCAAAACCTCCAAACAAGCTCCTCACCAACCAGCTCCCTCAGCAAGCTCCTCACCCAACAGGACTCCTTAGCACTGCACTGTACACAATATATATATACAGAAAACGCATTGTGCGTTTCTATTCTTACCTCCATCCTGAGTGTGAGATATCTTACATGTACGTACGTATGTGAGCCCATTCAAAGAGAAATAGACAAACAAAGGTAATTTGACAACTGGCCACATACAGTACGCTACAAGCCTAACAAAGAGAAAATAGATAAACACAAAGAGAAATTAGACAACTGGCTGTAGTGGATACTCTCCCCTACAACTGCCGTTTGTCGCTGAAATTTACATTGTCTAAAAGAGAAATAAGAGACTTCCTCACGAATATAACCACACCTCTACCAGGTTTACTCTGTACACCATCGAATTTACTATTTAACTTTCACTTAAAAAATGGTGGTCTTTTATGGTTACCAGTAAATTAAATTTTAAAAACTAAATTAATTAATTGTATTTTTTAAGTTTACTAGAACTGGACTGGTATTTATTTATTTCCTTTTCTTATCTATATTTTATAATATTTCTGGCATCGCTGCATTTTCACTTCCAGCAACTTGTAGTGGAATTCTCCCCTACAAACGCTGTTTGTCGCTGCCTAGCCGACCCCACCAATTCCCCAGTGTATGCCTCGTGGTCTAGGTCAACCAGCCTAGCCGACCCCACCAATTCCCCAGTGTATGCCTCGTGGTCTAGGTCAACCAGCGCCGCCATACACCACGGAGCGGGGGTCAACTGCTAAGCCACGCCTACCCCCGCTATTTAAGACCTGACCTCGTGGTGATCTCGCTCTCTTTCTACCTACACCAACCAGCCAGCAACACCTCCGCCTGCCTGGCGGTCCTCGCTCCTCTGCCTGCCTGGCGGTCCTCTCTCCCGCTGGCGAGCATGGCGACCCACAAGCTGTCCTTCTCTGAGCGTCCTCACCAACCAGCTCTCTCTACATCACGCTTGTAACCACGCTGCCTTCCCAGCACCAAGCTGCATTGTACATCCAATACAACATGTATATAGAGAGCACATCGTGAGTTTCCTTTCTCCATTCCATCCTGAGTGTGAACCAAATATCTTGAACCCCACAAATGGTGACTCCCGGAGATTCGCACTCACACAGGATGGAGGAGAAACTGATCACGCTCCCAGTCTTCAAGCAACATGGAAGACTGGCTTATCCACACAGAAGCAGCTATCATCGGCTCTACAGCTACTGTCTCTACACCGCAGGTTAGACACCCTAGAGCAGCTCTGCTACTCTAAGCAGAGACCAGCTCCTCTTCCTGCCCCAAGCACCACGTCCTACCGACCCCAGCACACCCGTCCTGCCTCAGACGCCGACCCCGGCCCAGCAGTAACCCCTGCCGCCCCTGATGCGGCCTCTGTTCCTGAGTGCGGACCCACACACCCCTCTTTTCTCCCTCAGGTACTCCCTGCTAATGTCCTGCACCCTGCTGCTGTCGTGGACCCAGCTGCTGTCACGAGCCCTCATCCGCTGCTGCTGACACAGCCCCTGCTCCTGACCCAGGTCCACACACCCCAGCAGGCGCATCTGTCGACTCTGTACCTGCCGTGAGGGAAGCACAACATTCATCGCCTCCACACACCCTTATTCTCCCTCTCTACTCCCACAGATATTGTGTATCTAGACAGTTGTATCCAGCGACCGGCTCATCACGCCATCGCCGTTGTCTCACATGAGGCACGCACCGCCCGTTCTGCCTCACATGTGCTATGCAACCCTGCAGACAACAAGTCTCCTACACAGCCTGGAGGGAAGGGGGAGTATTGTAGTGGAATTCTCCCCTACAAACGCTGTTTGTCGCTGCCTAGCCGACCCCACCAATTCCCCAGTGTATGCCTCGTGGTCTAGGTCAACCAGCGCCGCCATACACCACGGAGCGGGGGTCAACTGCTAAGCCACGCCTACCCCCGCTATTTAAGACCTGACCTCGTGGTGATCTCGCTCTCTTTCTACCTACACCAACCAGCCAGCAACACCTCCGCCTGCCTGGCGGTCCTCGCTCCTCCGCCTGCCTGGCGGTCCTCGCTCCTCCGCCTGCCTGGCGGTCCTCTCTCCCGCTGGCGAGCATGGCGACCCACAAGCTGTCCTTCTCTGAGCGTCCTCACCAACCAGCTCTCTCTACATCACGCTTGTAACCACGCTGCCTTCCCAGCACCAAGCTGCATTGTACATCCAATACAACATGTATATAGAGAGCACATCGTGAGTTTCCTTTCTCCATTCCATCCTGAGTGAGAACCAAACAATCTCATACCCCACAAACTCAATTAATTAAGTGAATTATGATACATCCAAACGCGTGGAAGTCGAATACAGTATAATGGTACTAATAGTGGTCGCTCACCAACTCTCCTCACCGGGAGTGCCATTGCCGTACGATATGTTGGGCAAACATTTAATTTTTACTAAGACTTCACTGTTAACTGCTACACCTCCGTTAGCACTCAGCAGCTGCAGCATCTGCTAAATACACTGTATTTTGCAAGGGGTGGATTGGGTAATATGCAATTAGATTTATTTTAGTGTGATAATAAATTTATAAATCTTCAGGATAGAAATGAAAATTTTTGTATTAAAAAATTACACTTGACGCAAAAAGGAGTTTTCTGTTGCAGTTCCACCTCAAAATAGCCACCAAAATATGGTCGACATTGACATTCGACTGAAGTATAATTACTTGAAGAAGAAAATGAAGATAAAATTGATTGATAGACTGTGATGAGAATAGAATTTTCATGTAATAGGCGAGATCTGGGTGGTATTAATATTAGTTAACCATTAGTACTGAGAAGAAAACGTAATCTATTAGTAGTGGAGTTTTAGGAAATATGTATATATACATATAATACATATATGTATATATTTTGACGTGTTCTCGAAAATAAAGCAATAAGACCTAAGTAGACATTAATATATTATATATTCAGTATATTCAAGCTCAATTTAATACAACTAGAAGAATATATGTGACATAAGTGTTCGTCATTTAACAAGAGCTGTGTGAGAAACACTACAGAGGATCAGCTGCTGTTGACAAATAGGTGGAGTTGCTTAGTGACTCATTTACCTTGTGTTAGTTAGAGCTGGGTTACTTGATACACTACCCTGTATATAATGACTTCAGAAATCAACTTATTACTTGGTAAGTAAAAACAAAATTTATCTTTAGATGAGAAGACAACGATTACCCAAAATAGAGTGTAACGGGTAATTTTGATATTGGCCATAACATTCTGAGTGAGGACTTGGTAATGGCAATGACCATTGTATTTGACATTAAGGAAAATTGTCATAAGGATTAGACGGGGCAATAAAGGATATGACCCTTGTGGACTAATAACACGGTATTCATGTTGGGTCTTCGCTAAGCTAACACGGCAATGTTATTGTTATAGGATCTCTACCTTGAACTGTAATGGTTTATTTTCTCTGGGAATAATACAAAACGTGGTAATGTCGGAGAACAGCAGTACCACCAGAACGGTCCGACTAATTACCCAAATGTAGCAAAATGTAGCTGCAATGAAGTCAAATAATGGTCCTACATGAATAAATCGGACTGGTGAATCACTTCTCGATTATTATTTGGTGTCAAAGTCACAAAAAATTCGTAAACTTAATTTAATCTGAGTTGTGTTGTGTTATGTTAGGTTAGGTTAGGTACATGCACTCGATCTATTAACTCAGATTAAATTAAGTTTACCAATTTTTTGTGACTTCGTGACACCAAATACTAGTCGAGGTTAGGTTAGGTTAGGTTCGGTTCGGTACATGCACGCGATCTATTAACTCAAATTAAATTACGTTTTCCAATTTTTTTTTACTTTGTGACACCAAATACTTGTCGAGAAGTGATTGGTAACCCGATTTATTCATGTAGGACCATTATTGGACTTCATTGCGGCTACATTTGGGTACATTTGGGTAATTAGTCGGACCCCCACCAGAAGGAGTTTTTCAGTTTCGTTAAATTTTTTCCACATGTTCTTATTATTTTAGTAAGTATTGTAAAAGAGGCGACATTTACTAGAACCTAATGGGACCAACCAGCCAAAGAAACCTACCTAACTTCCTTGCCCTTAACCCCGCCATATTAAACTGAAAGTACATACTTATTTTGATGAATTTTCACATGTTGCTACTAAAGAAAATCGAAGTTGAAACTATGTTTGGTATTTTGTTTTACAAGTAGACAACCAACGAACCTCATGAAGCCATTTTCTTATCAATCAATGTGATTTTAGGCTCGGTTAGGTTAGGTTCTGCTCAACAAAAAATCCGTGGTTATCCACTTGTAAAAATTTCCCCTATGTTTTTACCTTGTTTTTTGATGTGTTATGGACAAATTTGACTGTTATTTCTGGCACAAATCAATAGTTTTTGAGAGAAGTCCTCCATTCCATCTCAGAATCCAGAGATTTGCTATAAAACTCAAGGTGACAGTGTTCAAAACACACCAAAACCACCGGAAAAACAGTTTTGAATGTAACTTAGGTAGTAGGTAGCAGGCAGCTATCAAACAGAGGTACTACCGCCTGGGAAGGTATTGAAAGCATAATGTATTGTCCAATGGTAAACCCTGCTGCCATATGGCATAACAAAATTTTTGACCATTTACACACAATTGCAGGGTCTCATTGGGGAGCCACGAATTACCCAAAAGTACCCACATGTACCCAAAAGTACCCAAAAGTCTTGAAAATAAGGGTAAAATCTTAACGAATATCTGTTATACATACACAAAACATGTTTAATATTATTTTTAGTGTAATTTTGTAAAAATAATTTGCAAGATGAAAAAATAAACAGCGAAAAACTTTCAGTATTGGCGAACGCTAAATTCCAAAGAGTTCGTGAACAAGGGAGATAACTCAGATCCATCGTGATGCACTTCGCCAACCTAACCTAACCTAACGAAAAGTAAATCCTACGGCTATGTTAAATACCCCAAAGTAACAGAAACATCGGTAATTATATCTCCATTTTGGATAGGTGACTCCTTGGAATTTAGCGTTTTTCGCTGTTTATTATTTCATTATTTTTACTACATTTCAAAGAAAACATTATTAATCAGGTTTTATTGATGTAAAACATATATTCGTTAAGATTTTACCCTGATTTAATATACTTTTGGGTACATTTGGGTAATTCGTTGGACCGTCTCAATTTTGTCTCTTACTTTGACGACACAACATACATATATCGTTTCTCACTATTGATCCTGCATAGAGAAGTTGACTTGTGAAAGAGACTTAGCGGTACTTGTAAGCCCGGACCTACGGCCTAGAAATCAGTGCGTTAATGTTCAAAATAAGGTAAACACAGTATTAGGTTTTATATCTAGAAGTGTAAGTAATAAGAGTGCAGAGGTCTTATTGCAACTATATCTTGCGTTAGTCAGGCTGTACCTCGATTATGCTGTTCAGTTCTGGTGCCCTTATTATAGAATGGATATCAATTCACTGGAGTCGGTGCAGCGAAGAATGACGAAAATGATTCCGGAACTTAGAAACCTTCCATATCAAGATAGATTAAAGAAACTAAACTTGCATTCCCTAGAAAGACGAAGAGTGCTGGTAGATATGATAGAAGTATTGAAGTGGGTGAAAGGAATCAATAGAGGAGATATAGATAAAGTTCTTATAATATCCGAGCAGGATAGGACTTGGAGCAACGGATTTAAGTTGGATAAGTTTAGGTTTAGGAGGGAGATAGGAAGGAACTGGTTCACAAATAGGGTGGTGGACGAGTGGAACAAGCTTAGCAACTTTGTAGTAAGTGCTGGAATGCTGGAAAGTTTTAAAAGGAGGCAAGATAGATTCATGGATGATAGAGAGTGGTAGTAACTCTCGACAGGACTGATAATGAGTGTGGGAGAGAAAGCAAGACCCATAGCCTTAGATATTTGGCATAACTTTTCACCAGCATCAAACTGACATAACACCTTAATTTAACATCCAATGTGATAGGTTTTCATAATTTTTTCTCACTGCTGCTCTTACTGGTAACTAATGGTCTGTTACTAGACATGGGGATTAGAAGACAAGCATTTTATCAGTTTGTAAATGATCCACAGAAGGCGAAAAACAGTGTGGACACCTCTTCGATGTGTGCCACCAGACTCCTAAAATAAAATTGCTAATTTTTTTATTTCTTGTTGTGATCGTCAAAATATATATATGCAGTTAGGTCTGAAGTTTTTCATTATTGCAAATTTATTATCCTTAGTGAAATTTGGAAATAAAATATCTCTGTCGTTGTAGTGAATTTTCGCTAAAAGAATCTTCTTTAAAAGAGGAATGGAAGTTTAATGCTCAACCCTTTAATTGCTTTTTGTGGTATGGTATGTAACATGTAGGGGAAATTTCTTCTTTGTTATAATCCATTCTTCAGATTAATCTTAGATTTTTTTAATTTCTCTTTCATATTTTACTGTATAATATTCAGAATAATGAATGATATATACATTCCTGTATATATATATATATATATATATATATATATATATATATATATATATATATATATATATATATATATATATATATATATATATATATATATATATATATATATATATATATATATATATATATATATATATATATATATATATATATATTATTTTTTTTTCTTAACAGAGAAAGCAACAAGTCCATTGTTGCTGGACATTGATTGGGACTCCACACTCCACATTGTCGATCTTATTCGCCAGGGGGATGTCAAGTGAGTAGTTAAGCCACACTGTGTATGTAGGTGTATTTGCTTGCACTTTGTTCATATGGAGTTTAAGACTACAGTAATGTAAAAAACAGAGGAATTGATTTTGAAGCTCCTCTTTAATGGCCAGTGATTTGTGAGATTCCCTGTTATAGAACATCTTCTTTGTCCAGGGGGTTGGCTGCACTGATGAAGGTACACCTACCTAAATGAATCAGTATTAAGGCATCACAAACAGCTACTCCCAAACATGGGCATCCACATGTGGGTGCAAGGGGGGAGTGTACTTGCACCCCCTTGGAAAATGAGATTTTTTTTTTCTGCAATTCTTTTTAAATGAACTGTTTGTTTCTTAACGTTCTCACAATGGACACATGTGGTAAGCTGGTACTTTTGAAAATTGCTCTGTGTGAGAATTGCGATGTCATTGGCAAAAGCAACAACTGGTGCCTGGGTCTGGCTTACCTTGGTGTTACATTTATTTATTAGTGTATTATTATATTAACTTTATTATTACTGTATGTACATTTAAAAAAATATTTGTTTGCACAGTAATTATAAATAGATTATTTAATGTGGCAGCAAGGCATGGCAAGGTTCAAAGCTGAATAGAAAATGAATGAATAATCAAACACAAAATTCAGAAATTGTTGAATAATGTCAAAATATTTTGAACTCAATTAATTTGTATTTTTTTTTTGTAATTCAAGTGACCCAGCCCCGTTGTTGTCGAATTAACGAGGGTACAGTGTATGTGGAGTAGGAGGAGCAGAAAATAATCTTGGACTTTTTCTAGGTGTTTTTGTTGTGTGGCATTTGGGGAGGAAGACCCGGCAGGGAAGCATAGGCGAGCTTAGGAAGTATGAATGTTAAATAAGCACTGAGGAGCTTGGGCACGGGAACTTCGAGGGATTTGAGGCGGCAGAGGAGGTGGAGAAGAAAACTGGAGGATGTGACAATTGCACTGATGTGTGTTTTCCAATTTAGTTTGTTGTCTGTAGTGACACTGAGGATCTTGGTGGAGTCCACAACCTGGAGTGTGTTGGAGCCCAAAGTAATGGAGGGAGGTGGGACAAGGTCAGAGGAGAGGTTGATGTCCATAATCATGATTTTGGTATGGTTGATGGTGACATGGTTGTTGGTGGCCTAATTTTAGAGACTGTTCAATATATTCTGGAGAGCGCTGTAGTTGGGAGCCGAGTTGTTCACACTGATTCCAGTGGTGGAGTTGTTGACTTATTTCCAATGAGCAGGAGTCTCTCTCAGGGCATCATTGATAAGTTGGAGTAGAGCAACTGTGTGAATATTCTCTCAATAGGCCTTTTGACGCATAACAGAGCAGCTGACCGGGCAGAGCCTCTCATGCGTCACATGTGTTATGCCATTCCTAGATTGCGCCATATCTCCTAATAGTGTGAGTTATGTAAAAAAATAACTATCAGATTGAATTTATTATTACCATTTCGAATACTATCAAATTCCGTGTTATCATGGGTTTATGGGGAACAAAGTGAGATAGGCTATTTGAAAGATATTATTTGCTTTAGTACTGTACAGTATTTCAGTCATTGCTGATTTCCAACCTGTGGACACTTATCAACTGTATTGTTTTTTCAGCCCTAAGGCAGCTGTACAGTCACTTGTCAACCGCCTCAAGGACACGAACCCCAATGTTGTATTGTTGGCGTTGCAAGTGTTTGAGTCAGTTGTAAAAAACTGTGGCCAGTCAGTTCATGAACAAGTGGCCTCCCGTGTGGTGATGGAACAGATCCATGATGTGTTGCGCACTAACCCAAATGATGAAGTGCGCAAGAAGATTCTGATGCTACTTGCCACGTGGGTCTACGCCTTCCGAAATGAAATCAAGTATCGCGCTGTACAGGTAAGGCAGGTATTTATAGTTTATGGTTATAGACATGGCCATCTTAGAATACAGTATGTGATTTGTGTTTTTAGTAACTAATGTCATTACTGATTTGTTATAAATGTGGCATCTGTGTCATGAACAGTCTTCCACTGTGCAGAGTCCTTATTTTGTCATATTTACATTATCCCCTTGGCTGAGATGGTTTATGTACATTGTTACTTATGATAATCACATATTTTCACGTCTTGGTAGATTTTGTAGGTTGAGGCTTATTTGTGTATCCTTTTGTTAATTATTAATTTCCTTGATGTGAGCGTTAATACTAACAGTTGTATTTTGAGAATCATATTTTTTTTGCATGACATGAAAGTTTTTTTAATAATCAGTCTAACTCCTTGTAGTAGCCCCTGTCTCATTGTTGACAGCAATATTATATAAATGTGGGTTAATTGCATTAGTCTTATACAGTGAAACCTTGCTTTACGCGATCAATTGAACCCACGGAGGCCCGCGTAAAGCGGGAAACGCGTAAAGTGAACAATAGAACATATGGGATTAATTAAATAGAGACTGGGCCGACCCCCAAACTCCACTTTTTCAGACACAATACCTACGTTGTAGTAAAAATATCTTCTTAATTTATGATGGTATGCATACACAATTAATAATTAAGAGAAATATCAATAATATTAGGTTTTTTTAACACTTACATTAGTAGAAAAGATGGCTGGGCACACGGGGATGGGGGGTTAGTTCCGAGGCAGAGGGCAGATTATTGGCCCTCACCTGTATCACTTGTATCAATTGTATTACTATCCACCACAGAGGCTTGCAGGGCCTCTTTATCAAACCCCTCAAAGTCCATATAAGTCCATATCCTCACTATCACTGACTTGGGCCGGCTGTGGTGGGTGAAGAACTTGGTAATGTTTTGATGACTGGGCGACCTTGTGCGCACCCTGCCTGCGCCGCTCTCCGCGTAAAAGAGTACATGCACAGCGTAAAGTGAGCATTCCGGGTCTGGCAGGGTACCGCGTAAACGTGGAAACGTGTAAAAAAAACCATCTTAAAGCGGGGTAATACTGTATAACTCAATCACCCACAGTAACTTTCCATGTGCAGTGAGTTGTCATGCAGTGATCATATGGTCCATTCATTGAACATGTGATTGGTAACTTTCCACTGGAGGGTGCGTCTCTATTAGACCTTAGATCAGCTATAAGAAGCCAGCTATATGCCCCCAGTGATCACCCAGTCTTCACTCCAATCCCACTAGAAACAGACGTTGATTGCCCAAGCTTCACAGACAAGCTTGCCGTCTATGTTTCTAACATCCATAGCTCATTGAGATAGTTACGGTGATATAACCTTTTTGAAATTGTAAATAGAAATCGAATTTATAATAAATGAAGAAAAGGAACATATTGGGTTTTGCTACAGAAAATCCAATAAACTTTTATCTATAATTTGCTAGAGTATGTAAAGAGTAAGCACCTAGAATATAAGTGGCTGTTACAAGTGGTGACAACCCAGGTTGTTACATACATGACAGCTTCACAAGTAGTTGTTATTCAACGGTAACAGTCACCTAGCAGTTACGCAGTTGGTAAAGGTAGAGATAAATGTTCCCCCCTTTACTGTGTTACACTGTTACTAAGAAGCTTTAGTTACAGTGTAACACAGTAATGGGGAGAACATTTATCTCTACCTTTACTTAGCCATTATGATAGACGATGTCAATGTCATTTTATGTCTGGCAGCAGAACTCTTAAGTTGGTTCTTTTTATTCTGTATTATTCTTTGTTTAATGTGTTTGTTTATTTTACCCAATGATCTTTGTCTATTTTTTTTATTTACAAAAAAATATCAACACTTCAGAAAAATTTAGCAGAAAAAAAGAGTGATGTCTTTAGGTTTGACAATTTACACAGTGGACCAATTGACTACTGTACAGTGAACAGCAATCTTAGTTTGACAACCCAGAATTGATAGGACCCATGATATGTCTGTCTGGGATGAAATTCCATAATCCTAGAAAATAGTGTCTTTCTCAACATGACTATCCATGGGAAATGGTAAACTGAGATATAATCATTTGCCTGTTCGGTGAAAACTGGGAATCCTCCCTGCTGTGTTAATATACATTTATCCTGTGACCCTTGTTACCATTGATTTACATACTGGATAACTTGACCAGTCCCAACTTAGTTCCATTCTCCTGGGTATACCAATTGAACCTCCTCCTGGCTTGCTCTTCATGTTTGACAGCTAAGAGTTTCTATAAAATGTTTTGAACACTTAATCTTTGGATAGACTGTTTAGCATGTATGCCTAGGTATTAATATTATAAGTGTATTTATTGGTTTGTGAGCGTTTTCAAATTTGTTTAATGATCTGGGCCTGTATACACAAAACTTTTATGCTAATGACATAATAGTACTGTTAGCTAGCAGTAAAATTTAAAAGTTATACACAAAGCTTAACTAGCAAACTTTTACCGCACAAATAATTGTTTATTAAGTATTGCTAAACAGCACTAAAGATAGCAGGAGTTCATCATATAAAATGGTCTTATGGCTGAATAACCTCAATAAAATTATGAAGATTAATTTCAATATTTACATTTACAGTGGTCCCTCAGTTAACGAATGGTTCGATTAACGAAATTTTGGTTAACGAATTACCTCCCATAAGGATCTTCAATTCGGTTAACGAACAAAACTTTGATTAACGAAATCCTTACGACAAACACATTTTGTTGTGAGCATCAGCTGATCAGCTGGTGGGCTAGTCTGCCAATTCAGTAATCTGTTCTATGTTTACATTCATTTCCAGTGGAGTAAATATCAAGAAAGTTGTGCACTTTAATATTTTTGCATTTTTTATATTAAAATTATTTGTAATTTTAAAATTTAGTTAGTATATTGATAATATATGCAGTACAGGGAACTAGTTTTTTGTGCGCCCATCAGCCGCTTGACTCACCCACCAGGCGTCAGTTTGGCTTTGTTTATAGTGGAGTGAACATCGATTTTGTTGGCGTCTTGAATATTTTTTTAATTTTTACTTTAAAATTATTGGTCATACTGAAATTTAGTTAACTTATTGATAATATACAGTATAGCTCAGTGCAGTGTTGTTTTAAATATTAATAATCTTGAATTACACCTAGTGAACTTAAAATTTTATTGGTGAAATTACTGCATCAAGCATGGGTCCCCTGAAAGGTGATTTCTCCTCCATCCCCACTTCCTTCTCTTCTCCCTTCTCCTCCACCCCCACTTCTAATTCCCTTCATCATCATCAACCAGGAACTTTCTACACACACACCTCAAAGTAAGTGTACTTTACTACATTTTTTTTTTTTTACTTTGTATGTACTTTTCTGTGAGCTGGAACCAATTACCCAATATCCCATTGAAACAATGGATTCGGTTAACGAAATTTTCGGTTAACGAACGACTCTGTGGAATGAATTGTGTCCGTTAACCGAGGGACCACTGTATATACATTTTGATCATTACTACAAAAAATCTAATCTATGCCATTTGAAGGAGGGTTTATGACCCAAGGATACGATCTGTGGCTTTTCTTTGCCGTGCTGTTTGTAAACAAACATGTTATTGAGGAAATGGAAGTCTCAACCCCACAAAAGAAAGGGAAGCCCAGCTGGACAGCAGACTAGACTTTATTATTGGTGAATGCCATTGAAGAGAAAAAGCTAATATTGAATGGCCACTTGAAGGCTTTCCTGAATAATAAAGACAAAAAGAGGGGGGGTTATTTCTTGTTATCAACCCATCACCTTTTTACGATTTTTTTTCTTACTATTTAGTAGATCTCACTGAGTAATGAAAGAATATACAGTACTTGAATTAAGCGGCACATTCCAAAAATAAATGCGATTTTTGCGATTTATTAGTTGTAAAAATACAAATTTTTCGAAGTCTCAATTTATTGCTATGGTTTCACGCAGCATCGCTCTCGTTTCGTAAACCACCCATCACCTTTTTTCTCGTGGAATTTTTTTTTCCATTAGTTTTCTTGCTAGTTTTAGATGATTCTGACATTTGTCTTTGGGGCAAAACACTTTTTTTTTTTTTTTTTTTTTTTAGGTCAGGTCACCTAACCTAATTTATTTATTTAAATTTTTTTTTGGGGGGGGTGGGGTTAGGTTACTTGACCTAACAGGTCACGTCCTAATCTCCTAACCTTACCTAACCTAACCTAACTATAAAAAAGTGTTTTGCTTCAAAGAAAAATGTCAGAATCATCTAAAACCAAGAAAACTAGCGAAAAAATATATTTTTCATGTGAAAAAAGGGTGGTGGGTGGCTAACAAAAAATAACCAAAGAGGGCCTGGCTGGAAATCACCTTGAGAGTCAATGCTGCATTTGCTGGTGTTGTGAGGTCAGTGACAAAGTGTGAGCCATGCTGATTCTCAGTATTGTCAAGTCAAGAAAGAAGATCTCTGCTATAAAGATGGAATACTGTACACACAATATATTCACACTATTTAATATATGTACACACTATATTCATTAAATATATCTCTCCTTTCCCGATAAATACGTTGCCGCCTCTGATTTTGTTGTTGGTTCGCCTTGGTATCAACTAACAGACGACTATTACGGGACTTAGAAGTGCTCCCGAGGTCTTTTAACTTAACACTTCTATTAAGGCCCTTAAAAGTTTTGTGTATGTACTATTAGTGCTTAACAGGAAAATGTCAGCCTTAACAACTGTTTGCTAGCACTTAAAAGTTTTGTGTATACCAGCCCTGGTTGATAGTTTGCAGGTGAGCTTTTGGCATGACCAGTACTACCCAGTCCCATGCCTGATCTCACACTGTGTAGCTCAAAACTCTGGCCTAGAGCTATTCAGTTAAATAATTGGATTATGTAGGTACATTACTCTGGTTACCTAGCTTAGCTGGGCTAGCTAGGTTTGGTGTCCAGTCTGATTTGGGCACCCTAGTTTACATGGTTGTTATGATAAGTATCATATAGCATTT